CTTGCGAGTTAGAAATCTGAAAGGAGATAAATGCTAGCCACGCACATTGTAGCGACCCACCCTCATTCCCTTTGCATTCCTCCAGTGAGATGTAAGTTCTACTCAAGCAGCTTCTTCCTACGAACCACCGCCTTGTGGAACCAACTCCCAAAAGGCTGCTTCCCCGATCACTACAGTCTAGGGTTAACTGTTATCTTCCACACATATCCGCATAAGCTGTGTCTCTTACTCTGTCACCCTCTACCTCGAGTGGTCCTCGAGCCTTGTACAGGGTGAGCACCACTGTAAAAAAAAAAAGTAGGATAGAGAAGGCTGAAGAAAGATTAACACGAATTAAGATCCACGTGACTGTATTAACAAGAACAACACTTGCCAGTGTTACGTTTTCTATACAATTACAATGTTCATCAATACATTTGTTTGGGTCGTAATCTCCCTGAAGCCTTGCTCTTGGGGAGAACTTAGGGGTCCCTATATGCACACCGACATGCCTTCCAGCAATAAAAGCACGTGGATCTTATTGCTCGCTTTATTTCCAAGCTTGTTCCCACAATTCTGAACACGTGACATAGTGATTAGAACGTTCGCTTTCCGACCATGAGACCCGGGTTCGAATCTCACCATGGTCGATTTGTCAGGAAGGAGACTTCTTGACCTTATCGATCTGTAGAGGCGATTTCTGCGTGTGGCACCTCTGGGGCATTGTGAGCGAAATTAGGTAGACAGAACTATTTCGGTAGTTGAGCTAGCACGATGTCGCAAGTCATCGTGACAGAGGGCTTAAGTGTATTAACGTTGGCTGGAAAGCATGGAGCAGGAAGAGAGTTCCACAAGCGAGAAGTGCGAGAAAAGAAACTGTTAGCATAGAACTTACGGTTGCATCTCGTTAGTTCAACTGTAATTTGATGAGATCTCGCTGCCAGTCTTGTATTGCACTCAAATTCATACAGTCTAGGTACTATAGCAAAGAGCAATATTTATTTGTATAATTATACAAAATGTGGCACAAGGCCAAAATGGGGAATGGGAAAAAGATGGTCTTGTTCTGTCTTAACATTAAACTTAGCTAGCCACAAACACTGACCCAAACATACAACAATATTCCTAACACCAAAACAATGCATTCTTACTTACCTTTCTTACTACATCCACCATAATACCTCTTGTCTCTATGAAAGTCCTAACTAGTCCCATATGTACAATTCATTGTCCGTTGGAGGGGGGGGGATAAAACAACAATTTAAAAACTAATCCCAGTGTGTACCATAGCAAAGAGATCATCCAAACAATTACCATGAAAATATTTTTAAAACGTCACATAGCGGCAACCTTACGGCGATTGACAAGTGGCTGAAGCCGAGCCTCCAGATCAGGACCAATAATATTGCTGATTCTTCTTTGGATCTTATCAATGGGCTCCAAGTAAATGGCAGGGGCAGTGGACTAAATATGGCAGCAATATCTTATAGATATGCAAGATAGATTCCGGAGAGAATCGCACGACACAATGAGCAGCAATTAGGTCTTTGCTGGTAACTTTAGTCCTTCTAAATAAAATTAAATTCAAGAATAAATCAAATTGATATTTTTTATATGTTGTTGGTGACGTTTTAAATGTAAAAGTCTCTTCTAGTTGTTTCCAATAAATGTTCGCTAACGGGAATTTATCAAGACAGATTCGTTCTGTATTTTATAAGAACATGTGGGAGTTTTTGATCGGATTTTAATTTATATTTCTTTAAAAAGAAAATTAAGATCCCAATAACTGAATGAGTCTAAAAGTTGTCCAACTTTAAAATGTGAACCTTATATGGCAATGTTTAGGGCCGGCGCATACTACATCCCCCAGGCTGGGTGGGGGAGGAGGTTCAAGCCTGATTGGGGGCCCCGAGCAGAGATTTGTGACCCCCCACTATCTTATCAACATTTACTAGAAAACATGCGTCCGCCGGAAAAAAAAAAAATTTTTCTAACAAGATTTCTCGAGATATTCATGCCGGTAGATGTAAATAAATATAGTGTTTAATAAATAAATAAAAAACAGAGCATCTACTCAAATGTAACTACCCATTTAAAAAAACAAAACAAATAAGTTTAAAATTTGTCGGATTTAAACCATTTCCGAAAAAATTCTTTGTTTACCATAGGATACAAAACAGAGCAGGCATGTATATTCGAGAATCGGGAAGATATGTGTTCAAAAGCACTATCTGGGATATATATATATATATATATATATATATATATATATATATATATATATATATATATATATACCTATCGTACCTATGAACACTAATGGGATGTCCTAATCCTCATAAATACGTTGGACATTATTATAAGGGGGGAAATATGCTAAGTAGTCCACCAGTAGCAGTGGTTTACCTACTACACGCCGCTGGCGAGTATTGAATGACGTTATAAGGATTACCATTTCATTTTCAACCCATGTGTGCTTATTCCTCATTGAGTAACCCTTTCTAGGTTACAACAATATATATATGTGTGTGTGTGTTTGTGTGTGTGTGTGTGTGTGTGTGTGTGTGTGTGTGTGTGTGTGTGTGTGTGCATATATATGTGTGTGGGTGTGTGTGTTGTGTAATTATTTACTTGTTTTTACAAAGAGTAATGCCTCCCCGACGAAAACCTCGATTTAAGGAATATCGTATTTACGGAAGAACTCGTGGGTCATATGAGCTATAACGGACTAACCTTTTATGTTTGCAGAACGAAATTAAATAAATGCAAGAACAAATCATTCACCGAGTCCGTGTTAAGTTACTAGGTACATGTCAACTTAATAGCTATCAGCTTGAGATTTATCTGATTTCATCTATTTTTAAAGACAGTTTTTAGCAACCCAGGTCTGTGTGGAATTTATTCGATTGCGTCTATCATTCACAGACCCCTCGGACCCCTCGGACCCCTCGGACATTACATGGCTTTTCGGATTTAAGAAATTAAACATTGAGAAAGGATAAAGTGCGTTGGATAATCATGATTTCATTAAATTTTGTTATTTAAAAAAAAAACGGCAACACAGGCTGTTATGAATAAAAAAAAAAAAAAAGAATTGGGTTTTTAAAAGCCAGGGATGACAACCCTATTAGCATAGGAACCATCAAAAGATACCACACACTGACAATTTTAAATGTATTTTAAATGTCATTACCTTTCTTGAATCGATTCAGTGTGAGAGTGTTTGTTTTCATCTGTATTGCATATATATATATATATATATATATATATATATATATATATATATATATATATATATATATATATATATATTACCGGGAAATCGCTTGAAAATGAATAAGAGATAAAAATGTTAAATCTCTATCTATATTTCCACTATCGATGGGAGTTGGGAAATGCAAAGTCGGTTTTGGCCTTCTCGCTAACTTGGAGCATGCGCATGTAAGTTTTGGTGCAAATCCGTCGAAAATTGCGGCCGTGCATTCGTTACACATACACACATCTTGCCTTTATATATATATATATATATATATATATATATATATATATATATATATATATATATTCTCAGACAGAGTGTATCTGTAGAGGAGACAAAATGAATAAAAATAAACAAAAGGAAAACCTATTGTTTGCCAATGCGTTTCGTTCTCTGAGGAACTTTATCAAGACAATGTAGAGTTTATATTTTTGTATATTGTTTAGATTGACCCATCGTATCTTGTCAAAATATATACCTACGCCTCGGTTTTCCCAATCTCACTTTTCCTGAAAGAATGACTACTTTCCCAAGCTAACATATGCAACCACAAATATGTTGAAAAATCAAAAGAAAACGGTTAAATCCATCACCTCATGCCTTTGAAGATGTACAGCACATATGTCTATCAGGTGCCATAACAATCTAATCATAATCTAAACAATATTCATCCCCCACCCACAAAAATCTTGAATCTTATTCGCTCACTTGACATTTTGCCAGAATTTGAATTATGTGACTTTGTGTCTACCATATGCTCTGATTGACCCTTCAATCACCTGATGAATATTCATGAACTTTCTCAAATCTAAAAGCCTTGATAAACCAATGACATCCTCGCCTTTGTATAAAAACGTTTGCAGCAAAATAAATCCTATATCGTCTTGATAAAGTCCCTCAGAGAACGAAACTAAGAATAGCTTTTCCACTTGTCTCTTTTTATTCATATATATATATATGTATATATATATATATATATGTGTGTGTGTGTGTGTGTGTGTGTGTGTATTTGGGGATTTTTTGTGAGTGTGTGTGTTAGTGCATCAGGGGATTGCTGTCCAATTTCATTGTGCCTTGCACAGTGAGAAAAAGAAATAAACAATTGAATAAAACCTAAAATAAAATCAATTATTTATATATGAAACTGTGGGCGATTTCTCAGCCCCGTTTATGAGAAGAAAATAAATTAGGTTACAGATTCCATCGACGGCACCATTTCCTCAAAAGCCTCTCAATATAAGCACGGAAAGCAATGTACGATTGTTTGATTTGACATTTTATACGTTTTACACAACATTCTTCTTTTGTGTGCTGATGTTCATTAAAATATAAAATTTATAAGCTTTAATCTATTCTTTTAGATGACTACGTTGTCTTACAGCTGCACAAATCCATGTTTACATTTTCGTAAACAGGTCTAGCTCTCTTTGTAACTAGGAATTATAAATAAAAGAACATTCAGTGAAATTTGTCAGAGCGATAAAAAAAGGATTTATATGGGAGGAAGCTTTGAATTGTTCCCCTTGATCTGTAGCACTTAATTCCTTAACCCTAAACTTAACCACCAATAAGACAATCGGCATTAATGACTTATAGGCACTCTCTCGCTCTCCAATTAGTTTAAGCTTACGGCCATATTACGTTGAAACACCAATTCCTGCAAGATCACCGAAGATAAGCAACGTTGACACTGGTCAGTACCTAGATGAGTGACCGCTTGGAAATCCCAGGTGCTTTAAGGTTGGATGGGCAAGTGGTAGGTTTACGGCCACATCACATTGAAACACCAATTCCTGCAAGATCACCGAAGATAAGCAACGTCGACCCTGGTCAGTACTTTGATGAATGACCGCTTGGAAATACCAGGTGCTTTAAGGTTGGATGGGCAGGTGGTAGGTTTACGGCCACATCACGTTGAAACACCGATTCCCGTACCTCGGATCGTACCTAAATGGGTGACCGATTGGGGGTACCAGGTGCTACAAGTTTGGATGTGCGGGTGGGGTAATAGATAATGGCTTGGAATTGATAATCGAAGAGCTGAGTTCCAATTCCAGTTCACTTGGGAAAGATATGACTCCACCTCTTCTCACCCCAGCCAATTAATAAGAATTACTTCAGTAAATTATTATATAAAATCTTTTAAAAATTCTTACAATCTAAAAATATTTTCTGGCTTTAAATAACCGGTAAGCCATTAAAACGAGTCAATCAATCACGTCCAATTAGTTTAAATCGATGTTTTACTTTTGAAATAATATTCCTAGGGATAGCATTACAGTTTAGTTGTCAAGTTGTCTAGGATTTATTGTTGCTTACTGAAAACAACACTGACGACTCATCTCAAAACATCTCGAAGATTGCATGTTAAAAATTATAATTGACCAAACTATTTTAAAATTCTGGCAGAATCGTTTTTATTTACTTTATTTAAATACGAACTATTATCCCTATCTTTGTTGTTGTTATCACAACGATTCGGCCATTATGCTCTCCGACCTTCGTCAGATGTAAGCTACAGCGAGTTTTGAACTGAACCCTTTATTTAAGCTACGGGGGTAGACCGTTTTCGTTTGATTGCCAAAGTCTCTCGTTTTGTTTTTATTACAAAGATGAGGACAATAGCATCTGAAGAAGGCTGGAAACGATCGAACCCTTGTGATAACAGCAACAAAGATGAGAACAGTAACCCGCATGTAAATAATGATAATTCCTCGTCCCAGAAATTCAGATAGAGAATGGATTTAGTTTTTTAAAAAAAAGGATTTAATGCCTACCCTTTCGATTTGATTGAAAAAATACTGAATTAGTGTTCGCATATTAAATATTAAATATGGAATATTTCTATGAAACTGAAGAAAAAAAAAGGATATTTTAAAAACCGATATTTTATATCTGATTTTTATTCGTTCCTGAAGCAAGCAAGTAAAATTTCATCATATGTAAAAATAAAATAAATAAATATTTATATCGTAAAAATTAGAGAAACTATATACAGTTGGTTTGCGCCCAAATAGGTGGGAGGGAAGTGTGGTTAAAAAAAAAAATGCATCACTGACTGACTAACGCTTGCTGACATCAGAGGCAGAACAAGTCCAGACTTGTCTGAACTTGTTTGGATTTGAAAGAGATTGAAATGAAGAGGAAAGGCCAGCGTATACATAATCGAGGACGAGAAGAGAAAGAGAAAAAGAAAAGAAAAGAAAGAAAGCAGACTGAGAGGTTAAGAAAGAGAGGGGAAGAAACTAGCACGATGAAAGAGTGGTGGGTGACTGCACCAGTTTCCTGTAATATTAGCAGTAGCATAAATACGCTGACACGTCCTAAAAGTTCGTTCGGTTTAATAAGACAATTGTTTGTTTGTTCGTTTATATTATTTTTATGTTTGTTTCTTTGTTTGACTTTTATTGTTTCATTTTTTTCTTGTTTTTTTTTTTTCATTTTTGATATCAACTTTATTGAATGACATATTTACTATGTATGTATCTATGTTTTATAAACAATATAAAAGCATTTGATAAGAAACGATGCGCAAATAACTTTGTGAAAGGCATGAGTCCATCTCTTCCCTCTTCCCTGACTATGGGTTAAATAATCAGCAAACGACACTATCCCAAAGGAGAATGGACGAAGAAGAAAAGAATGAATGGATCACAGATTAAATTCTTGACATGATGCAAAGGAGACAGAAAGCAATACCAAGACATGGAACTGAATATAGAAAACTACATAATGAAATAAGGAACAAATGCAGACAGACTAAAGAAGAATGGCTCAATGAAAAATGTGCAGAAATAGAGAATAAGTATCACAAATAAAGAAGATATACATAAAAAAATAAGGGCACTAACAAGACATGCACATCAACAGGCTGCATAAAATCAAAGGACGGAATACTCATATTAAAGAAAGAAAAAAATTCTTCAGCACTGGAACAAATATATTGGAGATCTCTTACACAGCAATACACAGAAATACTGATGGGCCAGAAATACTAAAAACTGAAGTAGAAGCTGCACTGACCAAAATGAACAGAAACAAAGTGGCAGAGCCAGACAGACTTGTAATAAAAGATTCTGGCAGCCTTAGATGATTTCAGCATAGGCAAGATTACAGAAATAATAAATGAAATCTAAAACAGTAGGGATATATCAGATCTAAGCAGATCTATTTTCATAGCACTGCCTAGGAAACCAGGTGCAAATGAATGTGAACTCCACTGAACAATCAGCCTAATGAGTCACATAACAAAACTCATCATCCATATTCTGATGAATAGAGCACACAACAGTATCAGGTCAGAGATAGGACAAAAACAGTGCGGGTTCATTAAAGACACCAGAACAAGGAACGCAATATTTCTGCTCAGAATGTTCTCAGAAAGAGCAAAATAAAGGCAGGAGAATGTGCACCTGTCTTTTATAGAAGCTGAAGAAGCTTAACGCAACACAGTCTGCATAAAATCCAAAAACGGAGGGCTCATATTAGGTAAAGAAAAAAATTCTTCAGCGCTGGAGCAAATATATTGGAGATCTCTTCCATGACGAAAGAGAACAACCGGCAATAAACAAAAGTAGCAACGGGTCGGAAATATTAAAAACCGAAGTGAAAGTTGAAATAGATTTTATTTACAAAGATCTATTTAAATTGCTAGGAACACTGGCGGTTTTTTGGGGGGCGGGGGATTAGTATAATCCTGAAGGCTTACTGTTGGTCTCTCGTTCAACTGCGCCCCAGACATAATAATCGAGGAAGTTGTCTTCTGGGAAATTAGGTGACAAGATGTCAATGGTAATATGGCCGCAGAAATTGTCTGATAGCTATGACTGGGTTTCTTTTTTTTCTGCTTGCGTGGCATGTTGCAAGGTCCTGTTGCTAGACATAGGGTCTTCCAGCAGTCACCCTCTTGACCAAGAGAAGCATTACTTCCTCAGGGAACTTGATGTTGGGCCCCCGTGTTGAGTCTGGGGTTCTGTTGATGATGAATGGAGGAATAACGTCGTCATCACTAGTAATCACTCCAAGCACCATGATGTTGACTGGATATATTATCCAAATCTTTCTGAATCCTCTGAATTATCCTCAGATTAACACCCAAACTCTCTGAAATGCTCGTATTGGAGCTTCCGGCGGGAATGCCAAGCAGTACAGCATACAGTTTCCAAATTTCTAGCAGAGTTAATTGCATCATGGTGCTGACCTTACTATACTGTGCAGTCGACATAATAAAAAAACAAGGCGCATGCGCAAAATAAAAATAAAAAATGACTACAATTTACCCAATGTATCCTGTATATATGTATATTTGATAAAATATAATCTTAAGGTTTGCTATATTTATGGGTTAAAGCGCTCAATATCAAGGATAAAGCATATGTAAATATAAAAGTGGACATAGATTGCATGACGATTGCATTTCGCATGAAATAGAATGTTGCCTCTGGGTGTTGACTTCAATGCCTACTTTGTTTCTCAGACTAATGTGAAAAAAATGTAATATAAATTGTGCTATGATATCAACGAACACTCGTTGCCACTTTTGTAATGTTAACAAATACTCGTTTCGCAATGCTCGTTGTAGTTGAGACTTTGTAATCGCAGATACAACTATAGTACGCCGTTGAACATTACTGGTGTCAGACGCCTTCGAATATCACTCGCACTAATAGTACTTGCTCGAAAATACTCGCTCGAAAAGTAACCTGTATAGTGACCCGAAAAGAGAAGTAGTATAGTGAATAGAGTAGAGAATAGCGGTCCTTATAGTAATAGAGGATAGAGTAGAAATGGTGATCCGTATTGTAACAGAGGATAGACGAGGAATAACGATCAATTAGACGTTACGCGACCTCCTACTTATGCGTTTCCTTTATGGATACGTTCAGTTGAGTTCCATTTCTGACTTCCCCTTGTTCAGACATTATTCTTGAATCATTTCACCCCATGCAAGTCGATACTGCCACTGTGATTCAAGAGACTACAGGGAGTGAAAGAGAATGAAAAGACATTAGAATTAACCGGAAACCCAATCTTAATAAAGAAACAAGGGATAAAACCTCTACTCCTGTACAAATGTCTGGAAGCTGAACCGGACGATAGACGAACCTATCTATTCCTATTGAGAAGAAAAAAATAATTAGTAAATAAAATTTTAACGTTTAAGAGAAGACGTTAGAAGTATAGATTTGAAGTAGGCATTAGACTTAACCGGAAACCGAATCCTATTCAGGAAACAAGGGATAAAACCTCTACTCGTGTTTCAAAAGACCGTCGCAGAATGTGAAACGGTGATAGGTTACCTTATCTACTCATATTAATATTGTACAACTCTGACAAAACGATGCTACTTCCACAGATTCAAATCATCCCCATTCGTTCCGTATTCCAAATATAAGGAAACGTTTAATTAAGACAGATTTTCTCAAGAATTGCCACTTTGTGTTTCAAACTCCTGCGTGGATGCTTTCCAAAATACTACAATCTTAACCTCGTCGAGCTAAGGGTTAATCGTTATATATCTTCCTTATCCTCATAACCTACCTTTCCTACAACCGTCTCTTTCATTTATATCACACACCTTATTCATCATTATCATTTTAACAGTAACCATCTACCTTGAGTGCCTTTTGAGCCTTGTCTCGTTTGGACTTCAATATAAATAACAGTGTAGCCTAGAATCTCTAGTGGTAAATAATCTAAGAGGATGAAATCTCTGAACTTCAAACTGTGGAGATAATAACGGAAAACCACTCCACTATATTTCCCAAGAATACATAGCAATTTACAGATGATAAAGAAAAGGATTGACAGATGCGTTTTTTACGGTTTATCAACCTTTTACAGATTATTTTAAAGCCGTGAAATATTTTAG